TCTTACTTACTACCATTTAAAATGGCTACTAAAAAAAAAAAAAAAAAAAGGAAATAGGCAAGCATGGTATGCTCATGCCTGTAATCCCAGACTTTGGAGAGGGCGGTTGAGCAGATCACTTGAGATCAGGAGTTCGCGAGACCAGTCTGGCCAAAGAGGGTGAAATCCTGTCCTTTACTAAAAATACAAAAATTAGCCAGATGTGTGGTACTGTAATGTCGCCAGTCTACTTTGGAGACTGAGGAATGGAACACTTGAGCCCAGGAGGCGGAGGTCTGTAGAAGCCGAGATGCTGCACTCTACTGGGGGGCAAGCTCTGTCACAAATATATAAAAAGAAAAGAGAAAAAAGAAAACAAGCATGGCAAGATGTGGGAGAATACTGTGAGTCCTAGTGCACTGTTTGATGAATAAAACGATGCACTACTATGAAAAACCAATATGGTGTTCCTCAAAACATTAAAAACAGAATTAAATGATTCCAACCAATTCCCACTTTTGGATATGAGCGGCATTATTCACAATAGCCAAGAAGGTAAAAAAACAAACAAACAACAACAAAAAATAAAACAGCATAAATGTCCACTGCTATGGATAAGGAGATAAACAAAATTTATGTATTTACATGAAAATGGAATACCCATTTGCCTCAAAAAGAGGAAATTGCTACCTACAGATATGAATATGAAGCACATTATGCTAAGTGAAAAAGCCAGCAGTCACAAAAGACAAATGCTTTGTGATTCTGCTTATATTAGGTATTCAGAAGCTGTCAGAATTCAAGAAACAAAGTAGCAATGGATGGCTGAAAGGATGAAAGGGAAGTGAAGGTATAGGGAGTTGTTTAATGGTATACGTTTTAGTTTTGCCAAAGATGAAAAGGTTCTGGAAATTGGGTTGCACAACGTGTGAATATAGTTAATACTACTGAACTTTATCTTAAAAATGGTTCAAGTTGGTCCCATTTTATTGTTTTCTCCTTCTCAACCTTCCGAGTAGCTGGGATTACAGGCACCCACCACCACGCCCAGTTAATTTTTGTACTTTTTAGTAGAGGGACAGGGTTTCAC